GTTCTTCATCAACATAAATTCCCAGACTTATTTTTTTAATTGATACAAATTTACAATAACCAAATGTAGTTTTTTATAATGTATAATTTATTATCAATAAAATTAACCTTCATTACAATAACCATCAAATAATTTGATTAAAATTCAAACGTAAACCATAGGTAGTTACCCTTTTCACATATATGTATAGCTCCGAAATCTGCTAACTGCTCACTGGTGCAAAAACAATATTTAAGCTAGTCTGTTTACTCACTTTTTTAATATATAGATTATATATACAACCGACAAAGACAGTACTATATATATATCAACTGTGCATACTAAAATGACTTGTTTCATATTTTGAGAACCGTAATTCCCAGACATTCCGGACGAACTTTTTTTCTACTTTTTTTTTTTTTTTGCATTGGGATATATATAATATATATATTTTACAATCAAAGGTTAACTGTCTAATTATACAGAAAAGACTTAATACACTACAGAGCTATACTCTATGCAATGTTTATAATAAACAACCTGAGTTCAAATTGAATTCTAGATTACACCATTACATCCGGTACAGCACCCAAGCACATAAATTGAGTCACAAACATAATTACCACAATAAAACACAGTGTTCAAGTATTAGAGCAGAGATCTCTCTGCCACGCAAAGAGCGAATAAAATTAACTACGTAGACTAAACTATACAGTCCGTAAATAGTTGTGCATTATGAAAAGGTAGTTTTTTTTCTTTTTTTTCTTTCAATAAGTGAAGAAACAGGTAGATTTATACAAGCCAGTTAAACAGCCTTTTCGTGCTAATGCCCCCTTTTTCTTTCCTATTAGAAAATTAGAAGTCTTACTGTACCTCTCCTGGCACTCTGGCCTCTGTGACAGTCATTGTACAATCATAATCAGAATTTGCCAAGGGGAAAAAAATGAGGCCTGGACCCAGACGCATTGCATGGCAGGGCTCGAGGGGAGGATTTCTCTTTTTTGTTTGTTTGTTTATTTTGGTTTTAACTTTTTCTTTTTTTTTCTTTTATTTTATGTATTTTCAATTTAACTCGTGTGGTTCCATCATTCGTCCTTTGCTCGATCTTTGTTGATTTTCTTCATTTTCATCCTCCTGTTCTGAAACCAGATTTTCACTTGTCTCTCAGTTAAATTGAGGAGTCTGGCAACCTCATATCTACGGTCCCTAGTAAGATACATATTGAACAGAAACTCCTTCTCCAATTCCAGTGTCTGATGCTTGGTGTAAGGGCATCGCTTTTTCCTGGTGGACCTCGCGTGGAGCCAGTTTGCAGCTGGATTATCTACAACGAAAACAAGAGAAGTTCAGGCTGAGGGGGAGGGTGAGGGGGGTTGAGGGAGGGGTCTGGGAAGGCAATCCACGCAGAAACTGCCGATTAAGTGTCCCGGTGTTCGTGTTTAGGACATGGCTCTCCTTTCTCGAGGCACAGAGGATCGTGCGGCACAATGGACTCCAAAATACAGACACATGGAGAGGTCACACACAACCACACGCGGCAAAGCCCCGTTGCCCCCGCCTTCCCTCGCCTTTTTTATTGTTTCTGGAATACAATTTTAAAATACTTTCTTCTCCTCTCTCTCTCTCTCTCTCTCTCTCTCTCTCTCT